AACCCCCCCCCCCCCCCAAATAAAAGTTACTTTCCTCAAATAGTCTTCACTCTTTCTCCAGGAATCAAAATTTCTTTTATAGCAGGTTTGGAAAACAATAGTTAATAATACAATAACCCGCATTACTCCATCAGGCACGTAAACATCTCTAAGTACATCCATAAATAAACCAAATGCATGTGTCAATAAGTTCCAAGGATTGACTAAACTAACACAAAAACAACACCACATTCAGAAATGTCATGCTCTAAATCAGTAAAAATAGAAGAGACTACAAACAAGGAAAGATAAATTCTTCATCTTGACGTTACAACCAATCATTTGATACTTTTACATCAATAAATCAGTAAACAACAACAACATAACCAGCATAACGTAGTCCCACAGGTCGGGTCTAGGGAGGTTGGTGTGTACTGCAAACCTTAACCTATCTTATTATATAGGCCATAAAATTCAATGAAAGATGAATTTTCTAATGATGACTCGAATGTTAATATCCTTTTTGACTACCTACAAACCCCACTTCTGGAATTACACGCAACGAAAACAAGCCTGATGAACTAAGTTCTATGCATATGGGTCCGAGGAAGGGCTGGACTACAAGGGTCAAATATACGTAACCTTAACCGGTTGATTCCACAAAGCAGCTGGTTATTTCATATTCACATTCATAAGAATCATTTTCAACCCACCCCACATCAACTAATATACAAAAAAATGTATATACAAGGAAATAAAAGAAAAAAAATGAACACAATACCAGAAGCAAGGATCTTCTTCAAATCTGCAGCAGATGGGGAGGTGTTGCCACCCAACACAGCCAACAAGTAAGAAGCGATAACCTTCATTTTCTTATCTACAAATACACACAAAAACAATAATAATTACACACAAACACAAGAAAAAACTACAAAAATGTATCGTTAGATAAACAATACGAGATCAAATCAAATCAAAGAAAGAGAGAATTTACTTTGTGAGATTTGTAAGCTTTAATGGCGTAGGGCTGCTGCTGCTTCCGACTTTACAGAGAAAGAGGAAAATGTGTGGTGAATGCTATGAATATATAGTTAGGGCTTTTTGCCCTTTCTTATGCAGAGATTAAATCTCAACCGTTAAATTACTTATATCGAGTATTTTGCTTTTTGCACCTTTAGCTATGTTTTATTTCTATTGTTTGCACCATGTACTCTTTTTTTTGTTATCATTTACTCCTTGATGTATTCACTTGACTAATAGCGCGTTTGATCATGGATAATTTTTACTTTTTTCGGAATTGTATTTTGAAATTATTTTGGATGTAGGAAATTTTAAATACATATTTTTATTAGTGTAATTTTGTAATATTTTGAAATTCAAGAATCACTTGTAAAATTCAATTAGAAGAATGTATTTTATTACTATAACTGGAAAAACAAAGGTTATTGTCTATGTACGGGAAAGTTTCTGCACACGCGCCATTGGTACTCCCTTCTTTCCATCACAAAATATATTTTTGATACCTCTCAAAAAGAATTTTACTTATTTAACTATAGAATGAATAAATAATGAAAAAGCAAAAGAGAAACGGTAGAAGAAAAAAACAGTCAGAGTAGCAAAGTAAGAAAATTAAAAAGAAATGGAATTGTAACAAAACAAAACTTCTCATTTTGAGTGTTCATGTTCTATTTATGCTTTGAACGAAATACAAATCAATCGAATTATATTAATCGTATTGACATGCTTGTTATTGTACTCAAGGGGCTTGAGTGAGATTACGAAACTACGAGATACAAATCTTGTTGTTTTGTAGAAAAAATGTAGGATATGCTCTGATGCATGCACCCTGTGATTATTCATGAGATCAGGCGTGTAATCGAGTGCTTGATGTACGACCATCGCACGACATGTTGAGCATGTGAGGAGCGTGTGTTGCACGATCTATGACACATGCCAAAAATCAGCATAGGATGCATAGCTTGTTTTGTTTTATTTATCACCATTTTAGAATTGGGAACTCAATTTTAAGAGGTTTGAGCAATGATTTCATTTACATTTTGAAAAGAAAATGATTCCTACTTAATTTTGAGTTTATATGGTGATTTTTCCTTGCAATTTTGTGGATTTGGACATTTAAACGGACTCAAAATGGAAAGCTAACCATATTGAACTTGTGGGTTATTGGTAATTCAAAAATGAATTTTATTTTGAGTTCTGATCATATTGGTTTGATTTTGACTTAGATCATGTATTAAACTAGACAAATACATTATTTGACTATGTTGAGTGTTTAATTGGACATAGTTAAGTCTTTTGAATACATCATAACTTACGTGGATTGAAGTCAGTTAAAGTTTTAACCTAAATAAAATAATTTCTTTCAATTTGTCTTGTTTGACGTATGATAAGCACTTAACATATATTAAGGTCACAAGAATCCCCTAGCACAAAGTTGAGTGGAAAGCTTTCTTACCGATTAAGTTTGAATATCAGATTCTACTTACGTCAATTTCAAACGATCATATATCTTAAATCATAATGAATTAGGTGTCCCGTGACCTATCAAATTGAAGAATTTTGAGTCTTCTTTCCAACGCCGCCGAATTTACCTCATTTCAAGCTTAAGGTAAAAAGTTATGGCCGTTTTACTAGAGACTGTCATATTAGAAAAAAATGACGACAACCCTGATAGTCAACCTCTTGATGAGCAGTAGTTGGCCTGTCACACATGCATAAATTTCAGGTGTTTTATGTGACTTTGACGATTACAGGTGACGGGCAACAAACCTCTTGACGGGCAGTCAACAGTAGCATCACGCCAACAGGAATTGAGCATATGTTCAGATCTTGATGACAGCCTGACTGTGACGGACCGTCACACTCGCGACGGGCCGTCAGGACTTCCATCAGACACGCTTGGGGTTATGTTTTTTGTTAATTAAGGGTATTTCAGACTTTTTCCATCCTTCGTAAGCCTAAGTTCCAATCATTTTTACACCTAGTTAAGGGTCTTAGCTGTGTTAAGCATATTTTTTTACGTTTTTTAACACTTCAAATCATTATAGCAAGGTTCCAAGAAGAGAAAAGGCTAAGATTTTGAGAGTTTTTCAAGTTTTCATCAATTTCGCAAAGAATATTATTCTTCCCATGTATGTAATGTTATCATAGTGTCGGACTAGTTCGTCGTTACTCCCTACATATGTCAAAATTTAGAGAAAGAGTAATCTAGGATTTTTATTCTTGAGTAGTATCGATGAATTCTAAATTTCTATTCCTAATTGTTGAGTTGTTATATATCATTTATTGAGATTCTTGAATTGATTATTCATGTCTATATTCCAGCATGAACCTTATTATTGAGAAATCCTTTTAACCGATCATTGTCTTAAATTGATTTATGAGAAAAGTAAAGAAGAGTTTTTATACATGATTTGAGAAAGAGTATAAGAGAACTAAGTATTCCCAAATGTATCATTTTTGCATTGAGAAAAGATAAACCTTGATTTCTAGATGAGTTATGAGTTTAGAGATATTTCAGAGCAGTTTCCTCGTTTAAGAGGATATTTTGAGTAATTACCTCAACAGAGAAAGAATATCTTTTATACATTTGAGCATGAATATATATATTATTAGGAGTAGTATTGAGCACCGATATGAGGATGAGTTGAGACAACTCAAAATCCTCATAAACCGTGTCTGCCAACATGGGTAAATAATCATACTTTTTTGATGAATCATTATTGCTTAGTGGATCCATTTAGTTGAGAGGTTCTATACCCCGACACAATATATGACAGTTATGACATTATGGGTGAGACGTTATATCATCACGCAACTCATAGTGATGATTGTCGGCTAGAGAATCTCCCAATAGAGTTAAAGTGTATTTTAATATATCACTTATTATGTTGAGTTTAGAGATGAGTAAGTATTTTGTAAAGATTTAAATGATTTAACTCCTTTAGTTCTTTACATCCAGCTTGAGTATATTTTATCTATTGCAGTCCTTTAATTCAGTTATTTCGCTTCGGCTATATTACATACTCATACATTCAATGTAGTGATGTCATTCGACCTGCATCTATTTTATGATGCAAATACAGGTGTTCAAGATCATCAACAGACGCTTCGTTGAGATCACTTTATACTCTAGCTATCTTTTGGCGAGCCCATTCTGGAGGACTTCACAATTACTTTCTAGTTAGTGGTTTTGAGATTTCACGGGTCTTGTCCCGATGTTCTTCTTTATAATAGTAGAGGCTTCAGAGATAGACACAGTCGAGTATTTACTCTATTTGAGTTGTTCTACAAACTATAAGTATTGCTATCGAGTAATTTTCAGATTTTATGAGATAGGTATTTGAGTTTAACAAATTTAATTATGTTTTGAGCCCCTATCATTGCTTGGGTAAGTCTTCTGCTAAATAGTCTGTCAGGCCAAGGGTTCGCTTAGAACCACCAATGGTTCTCGAATGCCGGCCACGTCCAGCTTGTAAGCTCGAAACCCGACAAAAACCAAATAAGTTCAATGAGATATTACGTCTCTTATTCGAACAATTTAAATAGATTATTATTAGAGAAAAATCACAATTCAACAAAGTCATTTCCTGCTCTTCTAATAGGATTTTTTTTGGTATGAAAATAATCTTTGTAGTTTTGTTACAAGAAAATGACTTTGTTTTCGTTCATGCGTCATTCTTTAAAAATACATTCACTATTTCTTTAAATCTCGCAAGTTTTTAATTTAAATGTATCATTTTACATATAATGACACTCACTTATAAAAATGAGATGATTGTTTAAAATTAAAAGTTCAAAAAATAATTTTCAAATTATATACAAGTTTAGTTTAAAATTATTTTAAATATTTATTATATCCTTCAATTTCAGGTCTAACAAAATCAACACATAAATAAGTAAAAGAAAAAAACCAATAAAAAAACACAAGAAACAGGCAATAACATTTAAGTCATTTGTATAAAAAAAAATTCTTTTCTTTTTAAGATTATAACGTTTTTTGACTACTCAAAAGAATAATAATCAACAAATATATAAGTTTGTGTACTAAATAAAAATATCATCATAGTGTAATTTCACAAGTCGAATGTGAAAGGATAAAATATATACAAACGTTACCCTTATTTTGAGAGGTAGATAAACTATTTCAGATTGACCTGTGACTGAAGGAAAAATATATCAAAATAAATGTACAAGATTATAAGGGAAGTGACAAAATCATGACAAAACACGGTAGAATGCATGATATGGAATTATGGAAAAAAAAAATAGGAGCTATTGGAAAAATTACTACAATATTGATATTGGATTGAAATTACAAAGTAGTAAATAATTTATTACAAACACTGTGTCGTGGTAAGCCACTGCCTTGGAAGCGATTTCGGCCCGGCTCTAGTGCAAATCGTTTTAGCCGGCCGCTCTCTAAGGTTCTACAGTTACTCTCAAACACGTGCACTCGTAGCTGAAAGTTTGGAGGTTGCCCAAAATCAATTGCCCAAAAAATATTCTAAGAATTAGAAAGGAGGAAAAAGTTTTTATTTATTTATTTATGCTGTATATAGTATGTCTTAGGTTCACTAAATTCACCTTTTATATAGGATTGCAAGAGAAGGTGTTGCAAATAGGAAAGTTAATTTTTGAGAAACGGATTGTCATTACATCACTTTTACAGAAACTCCGTTTTTTTTTTTGAACGGATATATCTTCTCCTTTAAAACGTATTTTGAAATAGATAGTAGTAGAAATTGAAAGACAACAAACTATACGAGAAATGTTTCGACTATCAGCATGGAAGGATAAGCACTCAGTTACCTACTAACCTTTTACCCTAAGCTGTATTTTTCACAATCTCCCATCCAAGATCGTTAAGCTGCAACTACGTCATATCTTGTCTAATAACCTCCATCTAATACTTCTTCGGCTTATTCCTACATTTCTTAAAACCATCATAGTCAGCCTCTCACATCTCCGCACTAGGGCTCCATGCATCTCTTGATCTTCACTTGTCCAAAACCTTCTCAACTTTGCTTTTTACATTTTTCCTCTATCGAGGCCATTCCTATACCTTATCTCGAATATC